CCTGAGCCACATTCCCAGCCCCATGGCATTCATTTTTTGTATGAACATAACAATGATGTAAGACAGGACTAACTGCATTGGGGGTACAAAGTGCAGGGAGTAGGGTTATCAGTTCAGAAATAAAAACACAGATACCCAGTTAAATTTAAAAGGCAAACTTAAACCAAAAACAATGTTGTTTCTCTGAAATTCAAATTTATGTGTCCTGTATTTCATCTGGAAACTTTTAATAAAAGTGATGGAGGGCTGGGGATGTGGCTCAAGCGGTAACGCACTCACCTGGCATGCATGGGGCGCTGGGTTCGATCCTCAGCACCACATAAAAATAAAATAAAGATGTTGTATCCACCAAAATCTAAAAAATAAATATTAAAAAATTCTCTCTCTCTCTCCTTAAAAAGTGATGGAATATCAGTTAAAACATGAGCAAAGACAGAGTCAGAAAAGTCAGGGTATTGAGAAAAGTAGTACATTTATTTAGGAAAATGGTAGGAAATAAGGTCAGAAAAGTAGATGAAAGCCCAGAGCAAGGGTGAAGGAAAGAGCAAAGTCTGTGAAAGATCAGTCAGAGAAGTAAGAACATTAAAATCACAATGAGGGCTGGGGATGTGGCTCAAGTGGTAGCACGCTCACCTGGCATTCGTGCAGCCTGGGTTCGATCCTCAGCATCACCTCAGCATCACGTACAAACAAAGATGTTGTGTCAGCCGAAAACTAAAAAAAAATAAATAAATATTAAAAATTCTCTCTGTCTCTCTCTCTCTCACCTCTCTCTTTAAAAAAGAAAAAAAAACTAAAAAATAGATATTAAAAATTTTCTCTCTCACTCTCTCTTAAAAAAAATCACAATGAGATATTCTTTTTGCATATCAGATTAGAAAAGTTTAAAATGTTAGGAACCAAGCAATGCTGATAAAAATCAAGGAAATAAGATCCTGCAGAGGGAAATTAAGTTACTTTAACCTATTTGAAGACAATTTGGCAAAATAATAATATAATAAAATCTAACACTGTGTATTGTGTGCTATTCTTCTAAGCAATTTTTATATATTAACTAGTTGAATTTTCACATCAACCCTAGTGGTTGATCTACCACTTGGCTTCAGTCTGTGTTCTATGGTATATTCTTATCCATCAAAAATCTAAAATGCAACTACTCCAATGTGGAAATTGCTTGTCTAGAAATATGTCCTATCAACATATTCACGTGAATGCAAAGACAATTGAACAGAGTTATACATTATAGCATGATTTGAAAAAGCAGAAGACTGAAAATAATGTTCATTATTAGGGAGACAAATTAAATACATTTTGGTATAATCTCAGGAAAACTATTCAACCCTTTAAAAAAAGTGAAATGGAGCCATATATATGCATATGGAATGATCTCCAGATATATTGTTAGATGAAAAAAAGCAAGATATAGGACAATATGTTCTAGTAGGGCTTTAAAAAAAGTGACTATAAGGGGCTAGGGTTGTGGCTCCCTGGTAGCGCAAACTTAGCATGAGCAAGGGTTATTTTTGTAACCAACATAGTTTTGGTACTATAATGAAAACACAAATAACTGGGACAGAAATGGACTTCAAAGGAGCAAGAGGAGTCAATCAGGCAGGCACTGGAGGGGCTCATTTCCTGGGTAGAAATATGGCCTGCCAGTTATAGAAGTGCACTGATTTTGTAGTTTACAATGAGGGTGAATTAATTATAGGAGACAGAGGCAGAAGTTGTCTGTCTGGGCAATCAGGAAAAAAAGTTCTAAAAAGCCTGGGACTCATGGTGTTCAAGGCTCTGGGACCCTTTGTTACCCAGAGCTTTTCTCCTTCCAGGCCTCATCAGCAATGAGAAAGGGTTAAAGTCCAAGGCCCAGTATTTCAGTATCCGCCTCCTCCCTTCAGCACCTGTTATGGTTGGGAAGAGATAAATGTTTGCTTTTGGTGGAGGTGCTAGAGATGAACCCAGGAAGGGATGAAAGTTTGCTTTTTCCCTCGGGGCCCCTTGTTACTGGGAAAGGATTTCCTGGGAGAGGTTTAATGTTTGGTTAATTTCCCTCCTTCCTTTGGGACTACAACACTTTCTGTTTTTCCCAGAGGCTGTCTTGTAGGAATATTATTTTCTATAACATTTCAGGATCAATGCCCAACAAAAAAAGTGAGAAAAAAGTGAACTTAGAGGGCTGGGGTTGTGGCTCAGTGGTACAGCACTTGCCTAGCATGCCAACTGGATTCCATTCTCAGTACTGCATATGAATAAATGAATAAAATAAAGGTCAGTCAACAACTAAAAAAAAAAAATTTAAAGTGAACTTAAGAGTATGTGCACTTGTATATGCTTGTATATATTAAAGTTATATCCCAAAATAATGGGGCCAAGAAGATGATCTACAGGATAGTTGCCTCATAAAGGAGAG